ATATATATATATATATATATATATATGTTTAGTCTTGATTTTCACCTATCTCGTTGATCATTTTACTTGGCAGAATTTACCTATCAACTCTTACTAGTCTGTAACAATGACTATTAAAATGATGGCTTTCAGTGTAACTACAAATTCTCTTAGTCATTACAGTGTTGGATTCACCAATGTATCATCAGTCAGCTCTCTGAAGTGTGCAAATGAAATATCTCCTATCTTTTTTAGGAAGGAAAATATTTGAATGACATACTTACCCTAAGATGTGTGACTTAAAGGAAACAGAGATGCAGAGTCAGTAGTGGTCATTATATTCAATACACAAAAAGTTCACCTCCCACCCCCACCCCACACAAGCTTCTTTCTCTTTGGGAAAAAAAAAGCTCTTCCAGATATCTACATTCATAAACAATCCCAATTAATCCTTCAGCAAGTAGAAGTGGTGGAAGAAATGACACCGTTCCTTTAGAACACAGGGTTCGTTTACGTTATTTAAGGTAAACAGGAATTGAAATAGTCATGTACTAAAGAAACAGAAAGATCTTCCAGAAATCTGCAAGGGAACTGTGGTCAGAACTCTGAGCATTTTTGTGTTTACTGAGTTTTGTCCCAAGGTTTATTAATGTTTACATGGCACAAGGAAAGATAGCATCACAAGTCACAGACGTTTTCAGGCTTGATAACCACTTATTAGGTATTTTGCCAAACAAGTTCACACATCCTAGAGAGTTGGATTGTGTGACCCAGCATCCCCCTCTAGGGCAAGGTGCCCATCTGGTTGGGTGGAGGAGTTCGCCTCAGACCACTCCTGAGGTTCCATGAGGCTGCGGATTGGTGGTGTGAACCTGCTTACAGTGAAGGCCCAAGTCTAAAGTGGGAACTATGTAAATATCTTTCTAGCATGTCTTCAGACACTCGCCATTGGAGCCTGTGGAGAGGGCTGGCAGATCCCCCTGTAACCCCAGGTGCATCCTGAGGCATGCCACCAAAGCCTTTCTCCAGGCTGAATGCACAGGGATTCCAGGCTGCTCTCCCCTTGGATTTGCCAAGAACTTCTGTTTGGTAGCTCTCCACGCCTATTTGACTGTCTTTTTGCTGCTGTGTTGTTTTGTTGCATCTTTTTTTTTTTTGCAATGACACTGAGTGGCCTCCTGTATTTTTCCTTTCAGCCAGTAATGTTAAAGTAGAGACTCAGAGTGATGAAGAGAATGGGCGTGCCTGTGAAATGAATGGGGAAGAATGTGCGGAGGATTTACGAATGCTTGATGCCTCAGGAGAGAAAATGAATGGCTCCCACAGGGACCAAGGCAGCTCGGCTTTGTCAGGACTTGGAGGCATTCGACTTCCTAACGGAAAACTAAAGTGTGATATCTGTGGGATCATTTGCATCGGGCCCAATGTGCTCATGGTTCACAAAAGAAGCCACACTGGTAAGGCCTGGCTCAGTTTTTCCTTTAGTGGCCTGAGAAGGTCCATGGGGTTTGAAGGAGGAAAGCATCCTGTCTTCTTTGAGTGTTCTGAGCATGTTTCAAATTGACTCGTAGCTCAGTTGTTGCAAGCGATTGGTTCCAAGTGGTACTGAGTCCGAGTTCTTATTCTGGTACAGCCTTGGAAAGGAGTTCTCAACGGGTACCAATTCCACCCTATAAATAAAACAAGGGGAAAGTGAGCAGTATCACATGAGAGGCCTGACGGGGCCCTATTATATTAACACGTACTAAGTCGTTTCAGCTGAGTCCTCAGGGTACCTGCGCAAAGTGATCACCCTCCACAAAACAAAAAGTCCTGATACACCAAAACTCACTGCTCAAAATTTCCACTGAGAAAAATGTGTTTTATTTGTATTCAGACTAACAGGGATTGATTTTTAGAAAAAAGAGTGAATGATGGAACAGTAGAAAAATCAGGTTTTCAGAAAGACTTCAGATGAGCTTCCAAATAGCTTGCCCTCCAACAGGAGAGACTTTGAATCAGATGCTTTTATTGCCACTGGTTATCAGCTCAAATTCTTGAAGAACTCCCAAATCCCCTGTCTTGCTGAAAGGTTTGCTGGAGGTATAAGAGAATATCATGTTCTATGTCCAGAAAGGAAGGAACACGGGCACCCTAGTGTCAACAAGTTGTGCTCAGGCTCGCAGGAAGCCGCCTCACCAGGGGCATGAAAAGCATGGCAAGCCCCCGCTGGCCGAGCTCTGCCAGTCCACGTGTCTCTAATAGTCACGTTGATGGAACCGTCACAGAGTTGTCCAACAGAACTGTCCAGTCACTGCCACTCAGGATACTGAAGTCTTAGAAGTAAAATATGAATGGCACACACTTATTTAACTGCAGGCAGGAGGTTTCTTATGAATTGAACCAAAACTTTTCTTCACGTGGGAAGCTGTTCTAAAGTTGGGTAAAACACAATAGGTCCACCCCCTCTCGCAGTCACTGAAAGCTGGATCATGAAACGTAGAGACCCTGAGCCATCACTGCCTCTGAGCTGGCATCTTCAGGTCAGCATAAAGCTAGCGTCTGCCACTGCAAAAGAGGAAAAAAACAGTTGAAAACCCTGTTTTAAAGGCCTAGCAGATTCTGTAAGATACCTCAGGAAAGTGATGAGGATGACTTGAAATCAGACCCTTGTGTGCTGTTTACGTGGGACCAAACAAAAATATGTTTATCAAAAATTAAGCAGGAATTCAGAAAATTCCCGTGAGCCAAAAAGCTGTGTTATCAGGAAATGCAGATATTTATGGGGTGGTAGTTTTAATATTTGAATCAGGGCAGTTCCCAAAATGATCTATTCCATTTGCAGTGTATCTGGAAAACTAGAAAAATAAGTTGATATCAATAGATATCCATCGTCAATAAAAATTCAACTTCTAAAATTAAGCAAACTTTGCTTTTTCGAATGACCTCTTTAACCTCAAATTACCCAGTGAAATAGACCCATCACACTCAGCCCTAAGTGAAGCAAGCATGCACGAGGGTGGTCCCAGCCTTGCCTTTGTAATGAGGTGGAAATTAACATGAAGGTCGGCTACCCTGTGATAGACACTTAACAGAATACTCCAGGACCCATGGTAATACATCCCTGATGAGGAATAGACCTCACAAATGAATTACTTTCCTATTAATTCATGTAAAGCCTGACTGTACAGTGAAAATTCTCTTAAATAAATATTTGATAAGTGACTCAAATTCTGGCATACTAAATTGCCAAAATATAATGACTGCCTGCCTCGATAAAAAGAATAATTACATTTAATGAATAAACCTGCCAAGTACAGATATGCCGGGTGGCACCTGCTGTTTGCTGCTCACTTCTCCCAACAAATAGCAGCTAGTTGCCACATGTACACCAATAAGCTGAGTTTTTCACTTACAGAACAAATAACTTTCAGAAGTCAGTTTTATAGTTTCTGCCTTGCCCTTTATTAAAGAAATAAACACACTTGAAGCAATGAAATCATGAATTGTCTTCCTCATACATTTCCACTTGCCTAAATATAGAGGGTCCCAGGTAGATACAGAAATACCTTTGACCAAACTTAGTTTGAATAACTGGACATGCTAGAAAGGTTTTCATTTTCCTGGGATCTGAGAGGAATATGTTAGAAAAGGAATGGTTTCTCAATCCTCTATGCTTAAAATATTTTGAGAGCAGTGCTTCTCAAACTTGAAAGAGCATGTAAATCACTTGAGGTCTTGTGAGCATGCAGCTCTGCTTCAGACCTGGGGAGAGACAGAACAGGCATTCCTAACAGGCTCCCAAGGTGTGGAGCACTGAGCCTCCTCAGGCAGCCAGGCAGTGCAGCTGAGCAGTGACAGTAGCAGGGCCGTTCAGTGGGCTCTCCATCTGGGGCTTAGATATGACGTAAATCCCCACAGGACAGACTGGGACTTGCACTGTGATCACTCTTCCTCCTTTTGCCCCGTGGCTGAGTCAGCTTCCCAGTCCCTTCTGGGATACACTGAGGGGATTCAGGGGGCAGTCCTGCCTCTGCCCGTATCCCCATGTTGGCGAAGTAGCTCTGGTGCCATTTTCTAATCAGCTCCTGGGCACCAGCATGTCACTCCCCTGTCGTGCAGCTCAGTTTCATATTTTTCACTCGGGTGTGATGGCCTTCCCCACCAATGTCTCAGAGCTAGTGTGAGAACTAGCGGGGAGAGAGGCAGGAAGGAAGCTGGAAATGCAGAGTGCAAATACACCGCATTATTATTCTAAATGAGGGGCTTTTTAATAATAAAGACCAAGGAGAGTATCTGTGCCTACTTACTTCCCATCTGTAAGATAAAAAGGTGCAGTCCCCAAGCTTCCTAAACACAGCACCCTAGTGGCACTGCTCTTCCTAGGTATGGTTACAGTAGACCTACATCAGTTTTTGCAGTTCAAACATATTTTTTTCACTTTCTTCTGGTATGCCCTGAAATTCTATGATGTAGGCATCCATGAAGACTCCCGTTTTTACCCAGTGAAGTTATTAGAGGGTGCTCAAACATTCTTACAGAGGGTTCCTAAAATGGGAGCTCTGTGGAGTCACTGGGATTAAAAATTAAATTTCAAATTCATGACATCAAAGTCCTCATCCCAATGAAATAAAAGTAAATAAAACCTTGGAGAAACTTGACCTACTCAGCTGCAATAGCTGTTGACTTTCAGAAGGCAAATGATGGCCCCCAGCCATACAAGAACACACATGGCGTGGGCTGTTCTTGTGCCTCAGCTCCATGGACGTGTCTTCTTAGCTCTAGACCCCCCTAAAGGAAACCACTTGAATGGAGTGCTCTGTATGGTCACTTTTGGTAATGCTCTCTTAAGACCCCATGCCTTGTGCTATGTGTTCATGCCAGCATAGGCACTCAAAAGCAAAAAAGGTTTCCAGTGAAATTTGTTTGCAGGCAGGTATTAAGACACCAGGCACAGCAGGATCCAAGCAAACTCATGCTTGCCTGCCCTGCCCTGCTCTGCAGAAGGGCAATGTGTCTGTGGCAATCTGCCCCTTCCGTCTGTGGACAGAGACCCTGGCTCTGCCTCCTGTTTTCCCTGAAGCCCTCCAGACCTGGGGAGAGACGCTGGACTCCAGCACCTGCCCAGCACGGGAGGGGGTCTTTCCCAGGTGTAAGTGCAGGGCTGGATTCACTAGCTTAGGATCATACCACAAACACTGTTGTGTCACCAGGATTTTCCCACATCCTGATTGTGAGCATTTCTGTGACATGAGCTTTCTCCTGGGGGCCACCCTGTCCAAATGAGAGCTGTGGTTGGGGGCGTGTCCATCTCACATTGTCTGGGTCTTCCTGCACCAGCTCACTCTACTTTTCCTTTTATATCCACTCGGAGTTAAATGCACACATTTATGCTCGAGTGCACAGAAGGCCCAGAAGTGTTCCTAATGGATAATTAAATGATCTCTCTCCAGTGGAAACGCTCCTGGGCTACCTGGCTGCTAGCTATTGTAGTCTCTTCATTCAGTATTGATTTACATGTACGGGTTTGTAACTCAGAGAGTATAGTTAGTTAGTTAGTTAGTTTCGTCATCACCTTCCAACCTGCTTACATTTAAACTCTCTGCTTAGCCAAGACCAATTTCTCTAGGGATTTGCAGAAATACTAGATGCCTCCGGGTTAGTATCAGGACCCCTCCAATTGGCCTGTAATTGAATATCACTGTAAATTAGTTTCAGCTTTTATAGTAGTGCATCTAACCTGCCAGCTTAAGAAAAGTGATGATAATCATGAAATTCAAGTGTCAATATAGACTTTTAAATTTAATCTGGTGTGGATGTTAATAGTGCCAGATATGCTTCTGCGTAATCATTTTTGAGAAGTGCTGTCTTCTTTACCATAATCACATTAATCAGTCGGGAACATGGTTAAATAGACATTTTAATACATTGTCTCTTCCTGAGAAAAAAGTGACTCCAGGAAATATGTTGATAGGGTATCTCAACACCAGGAATTGTGGTCACATAGCATTCTTCCTCTAAATAAAGCATTTGTTTTTCAAAAGAGTTTCATGTTTACTTAAACATGACAAATGTATCACTCTTCAAAGTGAGAGTTAAATGAAATGTTCCCTGATTTGGATTCTAAGACCTGTGACTACTCAGTAGGACAACAGCGTATTTCTTTTTCTCAGTTGCCAGTTTACCCCTTTGTCAGCTCCAGACTGGAGACACGTGCTGTCACACAGAGCAGAGGGTCAGGTGTTTTCCTAGTCACAAATGCAACAGTACCACCCCTGAAAGAATTCCTTCATAACGACTAAATTGCATCTCTTAGAATACCTCTACTTATAATTTGTCTTCTATGGATATAGAGAAATAATAGCTTAAATGCTTTAGGATTTGTAAAGAAAGAAAAAGCTAGAAATCTCAGTGCAACTCTGACTTGTATTCCCTGCCATAGGGAGGTTTGGGACTTTTCTTTGGAAGATGGGGGGCTTCCTTCACAGTTTCTTAACTTCTCATTTTATTCAATCTTTCTCCATCTCTCTCTCTCTCTTTCTCTCATCCTCACGCTCTCTGTCTGTCTCTCTCCTGATTTGCCTGCTTAGGGACAGACAGGTAATGGAGAAGAAATTGAAAGGGAAAATACAGGGAAAATGTAAATGAAAAGAAGTTATTATAACTGTTATAATGAAGTGCCTTTCATTTAAATATAAGAATGTAACGCTGAAATGAACTTGTGATCCTGAAATGCATTTTTAATGAGTTTCCTTTTTATTTTGCTGCTTCAGTGGCATATTTTAAAGACCCTTTGAAAAAAGCCACATTAAAAACCCCACCAAATGCCACAACACGCAAAATTGGATATTGGTTTATTCCAAAACTGCTGATCAGGAAGAGTGGCTCTTCATCACAAAATGTTGCAGTCACTTTATTTAAATGAGTTTGAATTTGCATTGTGATGTGCCATTCTGATTTAGGGAAAAAAAATTAGATTTTCAGATCAAATTGACCCAGCCAGTGAAGCGTTAAGGAGCTGGCAGGTTTAGTCTGAAAGCCTCATGTTCTATCAAACCTGCAGCCGGTGGAAGTCACCAAGCCCCCGTGGGAAACAACTTTCTTGTAGCGCTGACCTCGTGTCCCTACGCTGAGTTTAGTTCTCACCAGCTCTCCTCTCTCCGTCCCAGGAGAACGGCCCTTCCAGTGCAATCAGTGCGGGGCCTCCTTCACCCAGAAGGGCAACCTGCTGCGGCACATCAAGCTGCATTCCGGGGAGAAGCCCTTCAAATGCCACCTCTGCAACTACGCCTGCCGCCGGAGGGACGCTCTCACCGGCCACCTGAGGACACACTCCGGTAGGTCCCCTGGACGCAGTCCGGGGCAGTCCGGGTGTCTGGGGCTCCTCTGCTATGCCCTTGAGGGTCCCAGATTGCATCCTAGCTGGCTAACCCTGAGGCCTTCCCAGCTCGCAGCCCTGCATCAGGTGCGGGCTGACACTTCCTTGACATTGCCCCCCCTCATATTCTATTTTCCCCATTGCACCAGGGGATTGGGCGCCGGGACCCCCATGCACACACACACACACACACACACACACACACGTCTCACCTTAGGTAGCGTGTTTCAGAACAGTCCTCCTCATCCCATTTGTCAGGCTAGTGGGGTTTCCATAAAGAATTGTGCAGGAAATGTTTTCACCACATGTACTGCTAAAACCAAAAACGTTTCCGAGTACAATTTGTTATGTTAGCTGTTAAGTCACACTTCGGAGTGTTTTACACAGGTATAATGGGATAGCTATTTTGCAGAACCGGTAGACAAGGGTGATTTAGGGCACACCCACCCAGTCTGAGCCCAGTGTAGCTCTGACACCAAAAACCAGCCAAGGCCACAGTTGCAGAGGCCAGGCTGGGGCTGTTACCAGGTTTTAGACAGCAGCCTTTCTCTTTGAATTAGACAGATAAAGTGCAACCCAAATAATCCGGAGCCTTGGCAAGATCGTCAGAGGCGTAAATGCTCCATCATTCTCAAAACACTCCCATCCTGTGAAGCCCAAATCCACTACAGTTTGGTTAGATCCCCTTCCTCTGCCTCCTGAGAAATAGTCCGCGGTGTTTCATTGCCCAGCAGCCTCATAATTCCACAGAGCAGAGGAAAAGCGGGCTCTTGGCCAGCCTGTCACAGATCTTGTTTGCCTGAGTGTGGTCTACACAACATGAAACCCACAGTTCTCCTTCATACTGTCCAGTCAGGGATATTTGCTATAGTATACTGCATGGGGCTTGTGGGTGGAAGGTTGATGGCCTTTGTCCTTCCCCCCGAAGAGCCTCCTGCCCCAGCCAGCCACCAGCCTGGGCCCTTCCCCAGTCAGTAGTCTCTCTAATCAGGTGCCCGGGGGAATGGCAATGCTTCAGACCAGCTGCTCCTCACCCTCCCCGGGTGGCAGGATAAGGAGGAGCCTCCCTCAGGGAGGCAGGGACATGTGCTCTTTGTGAAAGGTCTGCAGCAGCCCAGGCCATTTCTTCCCAAATGTGACGTGGATTTGATGATTGGGGGTTTTAGAGGCTGCTCATTGTGTCCATCTCTTTATCACACATTTACTGAGCTTCCTGGGGTGACCATTCTGCATGGGAGACCTCAGGTGCGCACAAGGAAAGCACCAGCGTGTTATAGGAGGCATGACATTGAATCCGAGGGGACGGAGGGAACATAAGGAAGGGGACAGTGGATCCCGGGGTGAAAAGTCAAGAGAGACTTCCCATAGAAGGGAGGGACTTCTGAAGCACATGCTGGAAGGCGAGTGTCTGAAGCTTGCTTTAGAGAAGTTGTAAACCAGTGTGTGAGTCAGCAGTAATCCCAGAAAGGGGTGTGCCCCCATATTGGCAAGAATTCAGTCTCTCTCCTGGCGGGTGGTCCCTGCGGTAGTCCACCCAGTTGGCTGGAGACAAAAAGGAGAGGAGTCGCAGGGACTGGTGCACCCCCTCCTTTCCATCCTGACCTCCTTCCCAGTGGTGCACATGGAGAAGGATCCCCACATGCTCTCGATCAGAAAATTGTGAGGATTTGGGTGATTTGACTTCCTAAAAACTTCCAAGAAAGTGGCTATATTGTGAGGAGTTGCTTCCCCCAGAGGGCAGGTGGGTCAGCAGGGGGCTATGAAGTGGGACAGTTGCCTTGTTACAGGGGGGGCAGGGAGAACAGGTGGCTCCCCTGAGATGGGAAGACTACTGTCTTAAGCATTTTTAGATATTCACCTGGGCGATGAGCATGGATGGTGGTTCCACCTGGAGCCAAAAGTGGTGCCTGGGGATGACAAGAAATGGGCCTCAGCGGAGAGGACTGTGCTGTCTTTGTGCCGTGCTAACAAGTGATCTAGGAGGAAGCCTCACAGCTGTCGTTTCTAAGGGGTCATGGAGACATAGACAGAGTTGGCAGCAATAGTACCTTGGGTCAGTGGGAAGCGCCACTTCCCATGTCAGTGGAAAGCACAAACACTCATTTTTAGGTTGACACCAACCCTAGGTCATCATCATTCCCAGATTACTCTGACTGCAGTGGAATCTGTCATGTACATCAGTCCTTAAAAGGAGAGCTGCTCTCTTTTCTTTCCTATGTGGAGTTAGGAACACCTAGTGGAGTGTTTTACGTTATTCTGGCTCCAGGCCTGTATATTTCGTTTCAGGCATGATGGTATCCTACTCTAAACACCGCAGATTACTTGAGTAATTATAGAACAGTAGTAGACTTTGGACCGTGTATTTCTATCCTGGTTTCACGGATGAGCAAGTGGAGAAAACCATCATGGGTGCAAGACTGCTGGGGATCTGTCTGTCCGAAAATGCTGTGGAGACACACACTGCTCTTGGGGAAAGAAGCAGTGATGATTTCTTCAAAATGGTTTCATTGAAGTGAAATAAGGACTTCGGCCATCGTCTGGCAAATTCAAATGTGGTCACACTCTATTCCATTGGGAATGACCATTCCCTTGTCCCATTAAAAGCCAGGATCAATATCACAGCTTTCCCTAGTAGCTGGTGGTGGCCTGAGGTCTTATGGACCAGCATGTTAGCAGAAATAGAGAATTTGTCCCATGCTGACGGCAGGAGGGAGCTGGGGGATTTTGGAGGGGTGGAGAAGAGATCTCCCTTCCTGCCGCATGGCTTCCTTTGAAAGTTGCAAGCTTAGAACTTCTTTCCTACAGAATATTGGGCTATGCTTCAAGATACTCTTGAGCTCAGTCGCTTGTAGTGAACATGCTTCTTATGTTCCAGAGTTAAAATCAATTGTATTTTCAGAAAAATGGATGTTCAGACACCATAGCATATATACCGGAAACAATTTGATCATGAAATTTACTGAAGTCACAGCTTTTTCAGAAAAGGACACTGAGTGGTTATCTATATCCTGTTAATTTCTAAAAGCAATACTCAATAAAATGTGCAGTTTTAGGCAATATTCTATATTGCAACATTATTTCTTGATGTCGGGGGTACATCACTTTGTATAAATAAAGAGAGATCCTTTTCATTCTCTATTAAATGGTCCAGAAGTCAAATTTTGGCTACCACGTTGATCTTCTTACTGTGGCTTCTGTTCACCTAGGAAAGAGATTTAACCCGTAGAAGCTCTGGCTAAACCACTTTACCAAACATTCCTATTTGGATGGTCTTAATTTTTATACAATACTTTGAAATATGTTCAATCAAACAACATGAGAAAGAAGTAGAAGATTCTGCTGTTAGGTTGGAAATTTATATTCCCTATAGAAGTGATTAAAGATACTTTATTCAGTTTATCTCTTAGGATGGTATCTACTGAAGTCCTTAAACTTGGGCATGATATGAATTCCTAGCTCATCTTTCTTTTTCCTAAAATATCACTCAGTAAAATCCAGGAAGGACTAAAACTCATTATACAGAACTGCACTGCCCCATACAATACCTACCACCTACATGTAGTATTTTTAATAATAATTTAAAATTAAAATTAAAATTTCAGTCCTCAGTGGCACTAGCCACACTTTTTATGCCCAATAGCTACATGTGGCTGGTGGCTACCATATTGGACAGCACTAATGGAGAGCATTTCTATCCTCATGGTCAGTTCTGTTGGACAAGGCTAATCTGGAAGCTACGCCATCCTAAAGCTCTTTGGCAAGAAAGCAAAGCTTTTCCATAAGCTCTGTTTATGAAAAATACACTTTGTATTATGTATATGTATATGAAAATACATATACACAGAATGTATATGTATATGTATTGTACATACGCATAGAATAAAAAATACATATACATAGAAAATACAAAATATTTTGTATTACATCTACACATACATGGGAAATACAAAATATTTTGTATTATAATGTAAGATACATTTATATTATGTAAGAAAGTATATTTTAGAAATAAAATGCCCATTTCATTCAAGCGTATCTGTCCAGCGTGGTTTCTTAGAGACCTCAAGTTATCCAGTGTAGCACCTGGAACTGAATTCACTCCGGCTGCATTCAACGTAGCCCCAGCATCGTGGCAGATCCGGCCCACAGCATAGACTGGAGCCTACTCTGGAGGCAAATCTGAAGACAATGTAGCCAACACGCAGGCCTTCCTCACATCTCTGTCCAGTCACTGGCATCCACATTGTAACACAGCAGTGGCTCGTTTCCCCAGTTAAAGGATAGGCTTCAGTGATTGGGGAGGAGATAATTTGGTAGTCCGTAAAGCAGACAAATTAAGACAAAACAAGAGTCTCATGAGGTCTTGGTACCATGAAAGAAGCCCTTGTGCATTAACATTTTTAAATTCAGTAATTTTCACCAAGTCCTTAACACTTTTAGCTCTCAAGGGTAAATTTTTTTTTTTAACTTTTTTTGGTAATGATTGTATTGCATGCATTCCCCTTACACATAAGGCTGACATTTAATTGGGGTCTTGAACTCAATTGTGTTTTCTGCAGTTGGTAAACCTCACAAATGTGGATATTGTGGCCGAAGCTATAAACAGCGAAGCTCTTTAGAGGAACATAAAGAGCGCTGCCACAACTACTTGGAAAGCATGGGCCTTCCGGGCACGCTGTACCCAGGTAAGCGCTGCTGCTCGGAGGCCAGCCTGGTCGGCTCTCCCCCCAGCACGGCGGGGAAGGAGGGCGCTCTGCAAGCAGCCTTAGGAGCAGAGCCATGGGCCTGCTTCCCGCCTGGGCTGGGAGGGAGGGAAGTTTTTGGCCAATAACATCACAGTTTCACTAGAAGCACACTGTGCTTCCCAGCTTTCTGGGTCCTCATCTGACCAGAGAGAGCTTGATTTTAAAACCCTTCCCACTTTCAATCAGGAGAAATGAGGATAGCAGTGACCTTAAAAGTTTTGGGATTGTTTCTTGGATGTTGGTGGTTTTAAAACAACAACAAAAAAAAAAAAAACACCTCGAGTAGTGATCATTTCTTTGTAAACAAAATAAAATGTAAAATCTTGTTTTAAAACAATTTTTTAACAAAGTTGATCAAATAAGAACTTTGAGGCCATGATTTTAAGTGTCAGTTCGGACTGAGGGCGCGGTATCCACCCCTGCCTGGAGTGTGAGGCTGAAGTTTGTTGGAAGCCCCCCGTAGTTGATAGTATTGAGGCTGTCAAAGGATGAGAGGGAAAGTCACTTCTTTTGTAGGAGCTGTGATGCTCTGCTGTGTGTTGCCTGACGAGGTGGGACTGGATTCCGACCCCAGAGGCTGCAGAGTAAATGATGTGGAGAGCACTAAGGAAGGCTGGATTCACCCAGGGGAATGGCAATGTTGTAAAAGGTTCCTTCCTAATTGTTTAAGAGATAAGCAATTTATAAAGAGATCAAATAAAGTTAATCTCTTTCAGAACACTATTCATCTAGCACTACCCCTGGAAAAATCATCACTAGACTGGGAGGTCAAAATTCAACAAATGGTGGAGAATTTATTAAGCCTTATTCACCTTTCTGACTTTGACAAATGGTTCTAAAGGGAAAATTCACCAGAATACCCTCAGATTATTCATGGCAGATGAGAGCAGGAAAAAGCAATGTTGAGAATGGCTAAAAGTGGATTCTGGTTAGTCTTGGCATGGAGAGGCAGCATCTCATCTGGCCAGAGCTCTGCACCCAGATGCTGTCTTCTCTGCCAGTCAACCAGGGACCTGGAGCTCACAAGCGATTCCTCTGGGCCTCAATTTTCTCACCTGTGAAATGGGAAGATACCATTAAATCATCATGTGGCTTCTTTCAAAATCTCAGGTCTAGAATGGAAAGGTGTTGAGGGTGAGTGGAAGAGAAGAAACGGGATATTAAAATAATAATAATAGTAATTTAACGGTTATTTATTCACATGGCAAGACCCCAGGACAGAAGACTAATGGATGGGGAGATGATTATGTTCCTTTGAAATAAAATGTCAACACTCAAATACCATTTTTTCTATTTAAAAAAATGAATGGGTCTTGAAAGTAAGTGCTCCTAATGATGTAGTTTACATAGTAATGCTTAATAAGCCATTTTATTTACTCAAAAAATATTTACTGAGGACTTATAATTGATAATACCAAGCCCTATTGAATACAGTAATCTGATATGCACATAGAATTGAAAAGACAAAATGAACAAAAGAAACAGACAGTATATTGTTTCTGTCTGTTTCCTCCACTGTTTTCATTACTAAAGGAACAAGCTGCAATGCACAGCCAGCTGAGGGGCACTGCCTGGGGAGCAGGGGAAGCAGCACTCATTGCACTGAGACCTGGGTTTGGGTTTTCTGTTTTTGAATACGACCCAGAGCTCGTCGCTTAAATGTGAGTGATAATTCATGCCTGGCCGCCCTCGTAGCAACGCTCTGAGAGAAACGTGAGGGAGTAGTTCCAGGTGTGAGCAGGGGCATAGACACGTGTCAGGTACTTACCTAAACATGGACGTTTTGGCCACTGACATACTGACACCTTCAAGCTAATCCTTCTCTGTTGGTCTCTTTGTCAGTAAGATTATGTCCTAGTATGTGTATTAAATGTTACCCTGTGGTGAGTGTCAGTTTCCCCCTAAGATGTTAATTTATTCCCTTTGATGGTTAAGTTACTTGGACTACCACAGTGATGCCTCTATGTCCCCACACTCAGGAGGCATGAAAGCTTCTCTAGGAAGGAGCGGTGATCTGGTCTCAGTGTGGCAGCAGGCAGAGTCAGGCCCGCACTTAATTACGTTGAATTGTTTCTGTCTGGTGTGGCATCAAAAGGTGCAAAATGATCATAAACACCTTGCGACAGTCACCTTTGGTTTTTGCCTTGCCAACACCTAACCCTGGTAGTTCCTGCTGCTTTAAGGAACTTGGAGCATTGAGAAGATCCATCAAAGGACTTTGACGGAAGTCCTCCTGAACTACGCTGGGGGCCAGGAAGACAAGCAGGAGCTTGGTCATTTCAGCTGTGCTGTGCCTGGGTGGGTGGAACCTGTGCCTTCTGACGCATCTCTCCTCTGTCCCCCTCTGCGAACCCCTCATCTCTGCTCAGATGGATGGGCGAGTAGTCTCTTCCCCCACCCCTGACGTCCCGTTAGATTGGGTGGTTACAGTAAAATCAAAGCCTCAGCTAGGTGATATAGGAAAAGATGAATTTTTCTGAATATAATTTTCTTTAGTAAAAGGCTTTTGGGTCACCTGTTATAATTTCTCATTGTCTTTATAGATAAAAAAAAATAAGTTTCTCTTGAGCCTCTGGTGCACAGTCACCAGCCTTTGGAGGTGCATGTATCTAAGGACAGAGTAGCCCATGACTCAGGAGCATCAGGCTCACTTGTTCCTTGCTGTGATCAACTCTGGGGGTGGAGGCTTTTGGGAAGCCCTGTGCCATGGTGCAGAGGAAGACCCCTCATTGCTGGGAGCCCTGGGCAGGCTGCATGCGCGGCTTTGCAGGGAAGGATGGACATGTCAGAAAGCACATTAGCTTAATAGATGAAGTGTGTGACCAGTGGAATTGGATTTTATGGATTTATGTTTATCTTGCGTGTAAATCAGGATGTGGGCTATATATGTTTGCCCACTTAATAAAAAACACATATTTCAAATGTTAAAAATATACCAGCAACAATAGCCGATTTGAAATATGTGTTTTCAAAGTTACATTTGTAATCGCATTGAAAACATAAAATACTTAGAAATGAGGAAAATCAGCAAACCGTACTGAGGCAAGAAAGAAAATGTGGGAGGTTAGAGGGGTGGAGAGGGCTGGATGCTGTCCATGCGCCCCTGCCCAAATTACAGTATCACTTCAGCATAAAACTGGCCTGTAAATCTTACTGGAATCTGGTAACCATGTATCCTGAAGTATCTGGATATAAGCATGAGATAATTGGCAGCGTTTTAAAAGAAGAGTAATGTCAAGTGATGTATGAAAATGTGTCTAAAATGGATGGAACTCTTTGAAGAATAGGCAGACAAATCAATAATAGACATGGATAAACCTACCGAAGACCCCGCGATAAATCAGTGTGAAATACCTGAGGCAGGAACAGTACAGGAAGAATTGATCAGGCATTTAAGGTAATCAGTTTCCATTGTCAGCTCCTTATACACGAGGATAAATTGCAGGGAAATGAGTTGTATTTTTAGAACTCCAACCACAATAACTAGATGTAAAAGATAGATGCAGCTATGCAGGATGCAAAGTTGTACCTTCAATTATGGAAAGAGACGACATAGAACAATCGAGAATGACTAGAAATGGGCCACACACCAACATTCACCTCCGTAATTTGTAAATTCTCTACAACAGTCAGGGGTGCTTTGAGTTTCAGGAGTTTGCCGTGTGTTCAGAGATAAGGGGCTCTGGTGTTTTCTCCGCATTGCCCAGATCTGCTGCAGTACTTTGGGGGCCACATTTTTGTATCTCAGTTCACTGTGCTAGTCCATGAAGTCAGACGTTAGGTCAGACAGTTCTTTGCATCTCAGAGGGCTGCTGTTAGGACTGAGTGAGGTAGTGGATTTGGGAGTATTTTGGAAGTTAAAAGGACTTGTCCAAGGGACATCATTGCTTAATCCAGTCCAGCCTCTGGCGATGGTGGTGGTGCTTGTGCAATTGGATGTAAAGGGGACAATGTGTGGTGAGCAGCTGTCGGAGGAAGAAGCCTTTGCAGGTGGCTGGTCGTTGGCATTGCTGGGGCTGCCTCCACCTGTCTGGCAGTGTTGCTGGGAAGATTAGAATTAATCTCTAGGAAGGGCCTGGCTCTTGTAGGCACTTAACAGATGTCAGATTTCACATTGGACATGACTGAACCCTTTAAACATAAGGCATTTCTAAACTGGCCTCTTTAACTGTCTTTGACTTTAGTCATTAAAGAAGAAACTAATCACAGTGAGATGGCAGAAGACCTGTGCAAGATAGGATCAGAGAGATCCCTCGTGCTGGACAGACTAGCAAGTAACGTCGCCAAGCGTAAGAGCTCTATGCCTCAGAAATTTCTTGGTAAGAGTTAAATGTTTGCTGTCTCTTAAAAAACAACTATGCGGGTGTTTTAGGTACAAGTGGAAATGAGTTGAGGGTAGAAGAAAGGGAAAAAAGTGAGATTTTTTTTCAAAAGCAAAAATTGGCAAGCTATATCTTCCTTAAATATCTTAGAATTTTTTCCAATAAGTGTCTTAGAAATAACAAATCTCCTGCCAGTTTTTCCTAGATGTGATTGTGTAGTGTCTGCGGACTTCGCTGTGATCTGCCTGTGGGCACCGTCCCTAAGGGGAGGTTGGGCCACTGTGCACGGGATGGAGAGTGTGGGCCTAGCTCAGCTGGGGGACATCACACTGCAGGACACCCCAGGCCTGGCCAGCTTCTTCAAGCTTCAGATCCTCATTTTTCACATGAAGCTCTTAACGCTCCCCTTATGGGGACTCTGAAGGGTTCATGGGAGGAATTGTACAGTGACTGACCCCTGAGAAGTGTCTGCCGAAGACTGGGTTTAGCTAGGCTTGCTGTTTTGCCTAATGCTTTGAGAGATGAAAAGGAAGAACAAGACCATGTTTCTCTCTAGGAGCATTGCCCAGAGTAGGTGACAGGCACACCAACACGGCCATCCAGCCAGACGCTGCAGGGTCCGAGTGGGAAGGCGTAGGCTTGGACCAGTGCAGAGTCAATACAGAGCCACTGACACTCGTGAACTCCGCAGCATCTCACGGGGTGATTGTGAACATGCCGTGACTGCCGGATATGAGAACATTTGGAAACCCTCAGTGTGAAGGTTAACTCTGTCTAGGAAAGAGGACCAGTAAGTGCTTCATGAAGCTGAGGTGCACCTTGGAAGAGGGATAGGGTTTTGGCACATTCTAGGTGTTGGAGGAATGGGGCAATCTAGGCAGATGGATAAAATCAGTGAGAAACCGGAATGCTGACCACGGGGGCTGGATTGAGGGCCTGAGGACATGACGGAGGAGCAGGGCGTGTTCCCAGCTTAACTCAGGTACCCATGGGGAGGCAGGAAAAGTGAAGCTGTCCCAGGTAGCTGTACCACAGGATGAATGGCCTCCAATGCCAGGTGAGATAGGGACCCTTCATTCAGTCAGCAGGAAAGAAGCATGGGCATATTTTTGATGAGCACAATGGCTAGGACAGTAAAGACAGCAAGTACCAAAAATGACTGGAAAAGGTGGAGTGTGGAGGCGGCGGCAGCGGGCTTGGAAAGAGAGGCCTGTGCAGGGGAAGGGTTGATGTCGGAGGAACGTAGCAGTGAGGGCAGGGATTGGGTGAAGGAAACCGTGAGTCAGTCACACACACTGAAGTAGAGTAGTGTGCCCTTGATGGAAAGGATTACACGAGGCTCTGGGAAAAGACGGGGTTCTGTTTTTGACATGTTGATTTTCAAGGACCTCTGGTGTCTGTGACACATGGGGAAATTGTGGTGGGGGGTGCCAGAACAGGGGCTAGTGAGGCCAGGGGTCTCAGAGGGCACCTGTTGACCTGCAGGATGGCAGGAAGGGGGAAGGACAGAGGCAAGGCCACATCCTGGGCACCAGCCTCAGTTTCAAACAGGGCTCCCTTTTGACCTTTGGATTAAATAGAGGTTTGTCATAGGTTGGGGATCAAGAGGAGCAAGGGAGAGAAGGATTCAGTTTACAAAAGGAATGAAAGCCACTGGCTGAGGCAGTGAGGAGTTGTCCACATACACCTGAACCTTTGGACCATGAGAACGAGGGAGACCCTGCCTTCCTGAACAGAGCAGGAGTGAGGTCCTGTGCTGAGCATAAGCGGTAGGATTCCAACAGCAGTGGGCATAGGGCCCACAGGCTGCCCCCTGAGCAGCCAGCATCTGCTTGGAGGCCCCCTGGGATGGACATAGCGACAGAGAGATGGGTGTTGACTGGGAGATGGGCAGAGATAAGGCAGTGAGTGTGTGCAAGGGGAATGAAGGGTTGCTGACCTTGAGAAGCAGGGACGGCATCCTCTGTCAAGTGAGGAGCCTGCAGAATGCTTTGGTGAATGAACATTCGCAGCCCCTTTTAGCTTTGGAGACTTGAAAACAAATGAGAAATTCATCTGTGAAACTAGTGGAGCCACTCCCCAACCCCGCCAGTGTGAGACCACAATGTGGGCGTTGGCTTGAGATGCTTCCGTGTTGATAGATGAACTAAGCAACACAGTGCTCTGATGGTGCAAAGCAAAGATGAAAAAGGAGTCCCCAGGGGACACAGTGGGAACAGTGGGCAAGGGTAGCAGAAGAGGAGTTAGAAGCAAAAGACTCACAAGCAGCTGCGTGATCTGTTGGTGATTGGCAGTTCATTTGTAAAATAATGCCTCTTCCTGCCCTAAAATGCCTACCTTAACCCCACTTCAACTTGATGAGATTTCCATCAGTCATTCCTAATGTATCACAGCTTCTGCAGCCCTAAAATGAAAAGGCCAGTGAGTCTCTAAGGCCTCGCACCTAAACTCTCAGGTGCCGTGTTTAGCCTTCATGTGAGCTTAGAAAGAGAGTAGGAATGCAGCTGTTCTCATACAAGCTGGCCCAGTAGTGCTTCAGTTGAGAGCTCCATGCTTCAGAGTCAGCTCCAGCTAGGAGTGACTGGTGGTGGCTTAAAAGGAGTGACGGATGTGATGGTGCTGTCAACACTAGAAAGCATCTTAAGAATGTAAGATGACAGGATTTTCACGTTGACCATTGCTCAGTGGCATATGGTTTTGCTTTATTCATCTATAACCTATGGCTAAAATTTTTACCTGAAACTTTGACATGTGTATGAATAAGTATTTGTTTTGCCAGCAACATTCCTTACCATCAGGGCCACTAAAGATCTCCTCCTCTGAGATCATCAAATACAGGAGAACCGGACTGATTCATCTAATTAGAAAAGGGATTATATTAAATAGTAATACTTGTTGGTTTTAGTCTGGTGCGTGAGGTAGGAACACTTTTGACATAGAGAAAAGCACAAAGAGGAAAACAACAATTACCAATATTCCTGCTACCCATTATCATTTCTTTGGTATATTTTCTTCTTTTATAAGAAAAAGAAACCCTGTTATATTATTAAAGTAACACAAAGTTAATATAAGGAATTTTAATGCAAAGATAAATGTTTTTAAATCACCACAAATCCCAACACCCAGAAATTACCAATATTAAAAACGGGGAAGCATCATTTCAAATATCTTCCTATGCATATGTATGTGAGTGGACAGGCTGATGAATAGATGGATTGATGGATAGGTAAATAGGAAATAAATATCTTCATAAAGATTCCAACGTAGTATACATGCCTTAAATTCAAGAGGTGAAAAAAGACCCAAACAAAACTGGAGAACTGGCTTATCTGAAATATTCTCTCACATGAAGGGATATTATTTTTAAAGACTCCTCTAAGATTAAAAATATGTATTATGTATTAAAAACATTAAGAAATTTGAATTATTTTTTAAATCCAGTTGTTTCCATTTAAATAGTATCTACTGGCTCACTGCTTTGAAAAATAAGGACAGTATTCCAGTTCGCATTCAGCGTTCCAGGGTTCACAGTGTCTTACTATTTTTACATTGTTCAACTTTGTAATATTCACATTCCATTCTGTAATCATAATTCATAGTAGTTTATTTATTACTAAATCTATTTAAATAGATTCAAGGATCAGACCCTGCCCTTTTATCCCTATTTCTGTTTATTTTGATTAATCTCTTCATTGATTGGACTTTACATTCAAGCAACTTTTTTCAAAAAGTTTCTGTAGGTGTTCTGTGATTGTATTGTGTTTGAGGATGGTGGCCTGTTGCCTTTGTTTTTGAGGAGCATTTTGACAGAGCCTAGGGTCTTGGGTCACTGCTTTGTTTTGTTTTGTTTTCTCCCTTGAGAGCTCTTTAGATTTTGCTGATGGCATTGCTTGTTGAATGTTGCTATGGAGACATCAAAGTCTAGTGTAACCGTTTCTTCTTAAAGGTGATTTGCATTTTATTTCTGAATGCCTGAGGGTTCTTTCTTTAACCTTGAAGTTAAATACCCTAATTAGGATGTATTTTGGTCTATTCATTCCGAATAAAAATTTCCTACCATTTTATCTAGAGAGTCCCTTTTTTCTCTATTTCTGGGAAATTCTCTTTTATATAAATATGTTTTGTTCCATCTATTGTGATCTCTGTTGAGGGATACCAGTTGTCCGTATGTTAATTTGTCTTCCATATCTGTTAACAGTTCTTTAAGTTTTTTGTTTATTTCTTTGTCTATTTTTACATTACTCACTGTTCTCTTGTGGTTTTCCTCTGTCAGTAACTTAATTTTTAGTAGTTCCTGTTCTATTACTTGCTATTTTTAATCCATGCATTAATTCTATAACAATATTATTTTTCTCCTTATTTTGCTTTCTGAAACCTGTAATCTCTTTGTTCCTTTTATTCTGTTGCTTTTGCATTTTATTTTGCATATTTTTAAAATTAGTTCCATGTTGTGAAGCAATTATGAGGCATTTTCTCTCTTCTTGGAATTAAGGACTTTTTTCCCCTAGGATGGACTCATTGGTCTGTGTTTTACTTCCTTTCTTTCCCTGTATTACTAGCAAATATTTTCATAGTAACCGTGACATTTCTTTTCATCTTGCTTGTTCTGCTTGGTCTAATATAGTTTGATTGACGTTTCAACCTTCTTCCCACTGTATTTTTTTTTTCCTGTGAGAGCTATTGAGTTTTCTAAATCCTGAATGAATGCCAAAGATGGGGTTGGAGGAGTTTGGTGAGGAAAAGTGCAGCCTTTGTTAAAATACTTTTCCTTTGCCTTCTCTCCCTCATCTGAAATTTAGCTAAATGCCCTAAGCCATCAGCACTGAACCAAGTTGGGGAATGCTTCATCCCCACAGGAGATACTCTGGGGCTTTGGGGCTATCTGCCCTTTCAGTGTAGACCACGGAGGACTTTGCTTCTGTCCCAGGGAGCCTGCAGGGGCTCACTTCTCCATGGTCATCTGATTCTTGCCAGCCAAAGTTTCAACTGCTGTTTTGATCAGAACAGGAAACAGATACCTATTTGAATCATGTTTGTATAAGTATGAGGCTATGAGGGAAAATGCTGAGGTTATTGTTGACTTGTACCTAAAGATTTGGAAATGAGATTAGCAGCCAAGCTTTGCCCTACATCTCATGCCAGAATTCTCTGTTTCTTTCCAGTCTTTGGTGTGTGTGTGTGTGTGTGTGTGTGTGTGTGTGTGTGTGTCTGTGTTTGTACTCATACACACCATAACGAAATACATATTACATATGTAGTTTTATATATGTAATATTCGATGTCTATACGTCACATGTTCTTTCAGCTGATTGCTGTTGGTGAAATTTATAGGTTTTTATTTTTCTTGTTTTGTTGGATAGTAGGGAAGAGAAATTCTATGGGTAATTTCCATGTTCCACAGTAATCTGGCATATATGTTGATTTTTTTCCTACACCCATTTGTTGTGATACCAGGTTTTGAAAACAACAGATTTCAGTGGTTGCTTGGGAAACCATGGAACCATGACTTGGGGAGAGACAGGATGATTAGGTGGGAAAGCATCTTACTGGTGGGGCTGTAAAGACTTACGTTTAGCAAAATTGGCAAGAAAGTCCATTCCCCTCCTTTTCTTGCCTTGATTCGGTAGAGGGATAGACTTGGATACAAACTAGAATGGATTTGTCACAGGACATTTAGTTGCTCAACACAAAAAAAAAAAAAAATGTGTGTGGTTTCAGCAATGTTATACCATTACTTTTTCTGACCTTTAATGGAGAGAAACACCACTTCTTTGCTCACTACCATTGGCTTCATAAGTTTTCATCCTGTTCTGTTTCTGGAAGGGTATACCTAGCCATGCACAAGTTTTCTTTTGGTAATCAGAGTAGGTGCCACTTCTGACCACCAGTATATGAAAACAGACAGAAACCAGGCTATTACATGATACATATCCATTACAAAAGAAGACATGAAACTCAAAGATACTTTATAGTATAATGGGGCATATAGTCCTGGAAGATTCTTAATGGTCACAGATTTTATAAAAGGACTATTAGTAAATTTGTGAATTACAGAGTAGTTTATCTTTCTGTTAGTAAGAACGAGCTGAAGCCCTCAGTGTCAGGTGCAGCGTGGGAGGTGGTGGAACCTTCCCTTGTCACCACCCTCATGAGCCACCATCAGCCATAACCTGCACTTTGGGGAAGTCTCAAATTATCCCTCACTGTTGTCCCTTTTCAATCTGTTCTTTCTACAATGAATGAGAAGGCGACTTCTTCCTTCAAACCCTTCAGTGGTTTTCATTTTCCTTTAGACAAAGTCTGCCTGGCTGGCCTCTGCCTGTCCCTCTTGTGTATCTCTCCAGCATTGCCCCCACATAGAGCTCTGGTTCCCTGCCCTTCACCTGGTCCTGCCACACCTCCCAGCCTCCTCTCCCTTCAGAACCTTCCGTCTTGTTATCCCCGACAATGGGACACAAAACCCTCCTTGTCTGGCTGACTCTTACAAGATCAGAAGCCTGTGTAATGCTCTCATAGCAAGCTCCCCTTGTCTTCATGGATTTCTCAGATGGAAGGAATTATCTGTGCGATCATGCATGAACTTCTACCTATCCTCCCCTAGTAGCTGTTTGTTGCTAAGGATGGGGACCACTCTCACTTGCTTACCATTCTGTCCCTCTGTCCCGTCCAGATGTGTTGAAGGAAGGAAATACACACAGTAGGGGTAAAATATAAACTGTTCAGACATTCCCTGGTTGGGCTCATGTGCTTTGATTAATTAATGTACCACCACTGAGAGTAGAACACAGCCACAGTCTTACCAGTAAGGGTGCAGTTACTGTCATTAATGAATTTCCTAATTAAGCCATGATTATTGAGAAGGTGTGTCTTCAAGACATTTTTTTTTATTAAGATGTCTACTCCAAAGCTAATTGAACAAGCCAAATCTAGGCTCCTGTTTCACCATTGCCAGGGAAATGAGCTCATGGACTCCTATGAACTGATGATGTTAGATCAGAAGCTTCTCGAGGCCAGGGCCCAGTCACTGCTGATGCCTCTACAGTAGTAACATCAGTAGTTCTCAATAATTTTTTAAGTAACAGATGAATAGCGAGTGTTTTCCCCTTAGCTTCCTTGCCGCGCCTCCTGCACTCCCTCACATGTTTCTGTGGAGCCCTGCTTCAGGCCTGCCAACTACAGAGAACTACTATTAAATCTGAGTATCCTTTCCACTCTCATCACAAATCAGAGCTCATCTACCTTTCAGTTGTTTATCAAAAATGTGTCATTTTATTATAAAAAATATACGGTCATCACGGATTTTGATTAAATTTTATGCTCGATCGTTAAAATTATTAAATGTAATTATTAAAATTATTAAACATCCCATATTTTAAATATATTGTATATAATGAATAATGATAATTATTGTGTATTTTAAGTCAATAAATGTAGAATTTAGTTGTAAATTACTGAGAACACTCTACTGAAAATGCATCATTTAAAATACGCTATTTCAAATATGAAATGAAATACAGTAACATAATTCAAGTCAAGTCAATTAATCTTTGGTTCCCCTATTTATTCATTCATCCAAGAAAATCTCTTTAAGTGCCTATGATAGGTAGGTCCTGGCTCGTTGCCCCCCTAGACAGATGCATGGGGTGTGGTGCAGGTGTGATGTGTCCGCAGGTGTGTGTGTAGGTGTGCAGGTGTGGGGTCCGCAGGCGCGCTGGGCCCCCAAGCCGTGTTCCCCTTCCCCTCCCCAGGCGTAGATTTCAGCTGTCGCTGCCGGACCTGACCGGTTCCGGAGGTGGTCACCCCCCACTCACTGTCACCTGCTTCCCACAGGGGACAAGGGCCTGTCCGACATGCCCTACGACAGCAGCGCCAGCTACGAGAAGGAGAACGAGATGATGAAGTCCCACGTGATGGACCAAGCCATCAACAACGCCATCAACTACCTGGGGGCCGAGTCCCTGCGCCCGCTGGTGCAGACGCCCCCCGGCGGCCCCGAGGTGGTCCCGGTCATCAGCCCCATGTACCAGCTGCACAAGCCGCTCGCGGAGGGCACCCCGCGCTCCAACCACTCGGCCCAGGACAGCGCCGTGGAGAACCTGCTGCTGCTCTCCAAGGCCAAGTCGGTGCCCTCGGAGCGCGAGGCGTCCCCGAGCAACAGCTGCCAAGACTCCACGGACACCGAGAGCAACAACGAGGAGCAGCGCGGCGGCCTCATCTACCTGACCAACCACATCGCCCCGCACGCGCGCAACGGGCTGTCGCTCAAGGAGGAGCACCGCGCCTACGACCTGCTGCGCGCCGCCTCCGAGAACTCGCAGGACGCGCTCCGCGTGGTCAGCACCAGCGGGGAGCAGATGAAGGTGTACAAGTGCGAACACTGCCGGGTGCTCTTCCTGGATCACGTCATGTACACCATCCACATGGGCTGCCACGGCTTCCGTGATCCTTTTGAGTGCAACATGTGCGGCTACCACAGCCAGGACCGGTACGAGTTCTCGTCGCACATAACGCGGGGGGAGCACCGCTTCCACATGAGCTAAAGCCCCCCGCGCCCCCCGGGCCACCCCCAGGAAAAGCACAAGGACTGCCGCCGCCTCGCGCCGCCAGCAGCAGAGACTGGACTGGACCGGATAACGTTGTGCTTGGATTTGTAGCTGTTTTTCGTTTTATGTTTGAGTTGGTTGGGGTTTGATTTGCTTTTGAAAAGATTTTTATTTTTAGAGGCAGGGCTGCATTGGGAGCACCCAGAACTGCCACCTTCCTCGATGTTTCCCCAGACTGCTGGCTGAGATTCCCTCACCTGTTGCTTCCTAGAATCCCCTTCTCCAAATGATGAGTCTAAATTTTCAGAGAGAAATAGATAAAACAGGCCACAGCCCGGGAAGGAACGTGCTGGTCTCCGTGCTAAGCACGGGGTTCACATGCCAGGTCTTTTCCAGTCCCCAGACACAGGGAGCACAGCCCCTGCCTGTGGCTCTACCAGTGAGCAGATGGACATGACAGATGTGCCACCGCCCAAGTGCCCATACAGCAGGGCCAACAGTCTGTGCCCAGGCCAGCTTTGGGCCACATGCAGCTAGGTCTCAGAGGCTGCATTTTTGAGAGAAAATACTATTTTAAGTCGTATTCTGCATAGGAAAATGAACTGTTTGGGGAAAGCCGTGTCTAACTGCCCTGGGTGGAGGGAGAGGTCAGGCTAGGGCCTTTCAGCTCCTCCTGGATTCACTGGCTTTGCGGAGACTGCTCAGATGGTCTGAGCCTCCTAAGGTTTGCTGCCAGTATAGGAGGAGCCAGTCTTCCTGTGGGCATATCTGGGGAGCCCAGTTCCCCACTTTTTCACTCCTATGCATTTAATGGCCCCCAAAGTCTATCACTACAGTTTAAACACCGGTCCCGAAATTTGGATCTTCATTATTTTTGAACCTCTCAAACGGCAACATTCGTCAGAAATCAAAGCTTTATTTCAGATCTGTTCCTTCCCTGGCTGGTTCCACCTAAGAGCAGAAGAAGCCTCTTTTCCTGAAGAAATCCAGTCCTAGTCCTCATTTTAGTTATGTGCATCTGTTTGTAGCCGCAAGCCTGAATTTCTCAGTGTTGGTAAATTTCTTTCCCTCTTCTCACTGTATATTATTCTCATTTTAAAGCCCATAAAAGAGTGATTTAGAATGATCATTAATTTTCAGCTTAATGAAATACGTGAAGCCCAGCATCTCTCTTGCTAACACACAGAACTCACCTGTTTGAAACTAAGCTTTCAAACGTGGCGAAGCCCTTTTCTGTAACGGCAAAGCAGCATGTGTGTTCACATATATGTAGGATGGCTGGCTCTGCACCTGTGGGATATTGGAATGCACAGGGCAATCGAGGGACTGAGCCAGACCCTTGGATAGTAATGCCACCAGATCTCCCAGGAAAGAGGAGGCAGGTGGCATTGCAGGTGAGAACCCTGCCCATCCATGCTATGACATGGAGGCACTGAAGCCCAAGAAAGGTGTGTGGAGATTCTAATCCCAACCAGCAAAGATCTCCTTTAAAATTAATGCTATCATTAAGGTCATTACTCTCAACCACCTAGGCAATGAAGAATATACCATTTCAAATATTTATAGCACTTCACCAACACTGTCCCAAGATGAAGCAACAGAGGGGAGATTGTACATAAGCACCTCAGCATTTAATCCAAACAGGGGTGCTTAGTCTCAGCACTATGACATTTCGGGCTGAATACTTATTTGTTGGGAGGAATACTTATCCTGTGCATCGTAGGATATTTAGCAGCATCCCTGCTCACTACCCAGTAGATGCCGGTAGCACCCCAAATTGACAACCCAAACTGTCTCCACGTATCACCAACTGTTCCCTTTGAGGAGAAATCACTCCTGTCGGAGAACCACGGACCTAAATGAATTCTAAACCCATCAAAGGTCTGGGAAGCCTTCCAAGAAAAAATAAAATAAAATAAAGCACTTGAAGAATATTCTCAATATTCCCAGTCAGCAGTATCAAGCCTGACTTGTGATCCTGTGGAACCATTATAAATTCTATAAATGAATTATTCCCCTTCAGTCTTCAAAAACATATTTCCTCATAAACATTTGAGTTTTGTGGAAAGGATGGAGTTAACAAAGATATCATTCTTGAGTCATGGATTTATCTGCTTACAGAAGGGTGTGGCATTGGAAACTGGAATAAACAGCATTGCCACACCGATGCACTGGTGAAGGAAGAGAGAGGAGCAAGGGCTTTAGACAGCATTCATTCAATATGCAATTACAGAGAAAGATGCGCCTTATCCAAGTTAACATCTCTAAGGTGAGAGCCTTCTTAGGGTCTCTCTTAAGAGACTCTCTTGAGTTTGTTGCAAATTTCACCTACTCTGTCCTTTTCCATTCATCCCACTGTGTCAATTGGTTGAAGGGAGTTATTTTTTCAAGTGGAATTCAAACAAAGCTCAAACCAGAACTGTAAATAGTGGCTGCAGGAATTCTTTTCTAAACTGCTTTGCCCTTTCCTCTCACTGCCTTTTATAGCCAATATAAATGTCTCTTTCCATACCTTCTGTTGTGGTTTTATAGTGTAACGCCATTTTTCTTTGAAACTATTGTATTTAAAGTAAGGTTTCATATTATGTCAGTAAGTAATTAACTTATGTTTGAAAGGTGGTCATATCATGTACCAAAAGTTGCTGAAGTTTCTCTTCTAGCTGGTAAAAGTAGGAGTTTGCATGACCTCACACTTTTCATTGTGTAGTTCGTTCTGTTGTATGATGGCATGAGTGTGTGTCTTGGGTACCGCTGTGTACTGCTGTGTGCCTAGATGCCATGCACTCCCATTGTGTTTGAAGTAAATATTGGAGACAGGAGGGTTACCCATAACAGCTTGGCCTGTTGATTACAGCTAGAAATCGCTGTTTTTTGTTCCCTCCCGCTCCCTGCCACCCCACCTTCCCAGGATGTGGATAGCCTGAATCTCAGCTCCTTGCCTCATATTCCTTCTGTAATTTGTACCTAGAGAGTGTGATTATCCTCATCCAAGAGTCACTAAAAATCATTGCATTATCATTGTGTTATCACCAAAGGATAACTCCTAGCTCCAGTTGCTTCAGATAGCAGCATGTCCCATTTCAAATTTAGAATTAGCTGCATAATAAAATCTTAGAACCTTCCTTGAGAAAGAGCTACCTGAGAGTAGGTTTGTTATATGGTTTCCCCTCCTGTTTTGTGCTTTTCTCTTTTTTTTTTTTTTTTTTGACTGCAAACTACGAGTTTTGTCTTGTCCTTTTCTTGCCAAAACAAACACAAGATGAACTGAACTTATTCAGACAAATCATGACACCAGTGTATCCTTCCTTTCTTCAGTTCCAGCAATAATGAATGGTCAACTCTTTTAAAATCCGTATCTCTCTCATTCATTTCAATGTATTTTTACTTTAAGAGGAACCAAAATTATTAGACTTATTTAAGACGTACAGGCATCAGAAAAAAAGAAGCACATATGCTTTCGGTGCGATGGCACTCACTGTGAACATGTGTAACCACATATTAATATGCAATATTGTTTCCAATACTTTCTAATACACTTTTTTATAATGTTGTGTGTGGTGATTGTTCAGGTCGAATCTGTTGTATCCAGTACAGCTTTAGATCTTCAGCTGCCCTTCTGGCGAGTACATGCACAGGATTGTAAATGAGAAATGCAGTCATATTTCCAGTCTGCCTCTATGATGATGTTAAATTATTGCTGTTTACCTGTGAGCAAGGGATGTACCACTGGAGGGATAGAGTATCCTTTTGTACACGTTTTGAAATGCTTCTTCTGTAGTGATAGCACAAATAAATGCAACGAATACTCTGTTTGCCCTATCCCGTGAAGTCCACACTGCCATAAGAGAAGACCCAGCAGCAGAGCAGGAATCTGCCTAGACTTTCTCCCAGTGAGATCCCAGTATGAGAGGGAGAAGTGAGGGGCCTCGGGACAGCGGCAGTACCACTTGGGAACATGTGTGGTATCATGTGGCTGGCGCAGCAGTTCAGCGCAGCAGACCTCCCGTCTGCAACAGTGCTGGGCAAGGGGATTCTAAGTCCCCGTCTTGAGAGTGGGTGAGGTTAGAGGGCAACAAGAGGTACATTTGCAGTTCTCCACTGCAGTATGCTGCAGGCCTTCCGTGAGTGGCCGGGCCCAGGGTGGTGGGAGCACAGAGGGCAGAGTGACCACTGTGAGTGCACCTTCAGCATAGCCACTTTGCAGAGCCGCAAGGGCTGGGCTGGTGCTGGGAGGTTCGTCTGAGCTCCGCTGTGGAATCTCACTACTGCAGACTCTCTGGTGAAAATGCTTGTGCCTTTCGGATGAAGAGCCAGATATCATTTGGGTTCAGATCCAGCCAATCAAGTCAGGTGACTACCTTTAATGTGGCACAACATCGGATCCAAACAAGACGAAACTCTAGGGAAATAAACAGTGCATTGGGTTTCACACTGGGGCCTGGCACCACTAGCCAAGCAGGACTTTTGAAAATGTCTTTGCCAAGGCAGCATCTTTAGGAGAACTTTTCAGCCTCCTTAGGTTATCTCATTGAGGGATCATGTTGTATATATGTACATGTACATATAATGATACATCTGTTTACAGATCTGTTCAGCCATTTTTATAGCTACAGCTTGCATATTTCCCAGTGATCACAGTACAAAAAAATAAAGAATATCTACAGTTAGTTAAAAAATAGCCTGGACTCAAACTAAGAGGGAAAAGTAATTTAGAAGGGTGGGGGTCGGGCAAGAGGATGATAAAGATGTTGAGCTATATTTTTGTTACACTCTAAAATACGGGCTAGCAGCTCAATGCCTTAGGAAGCTAGACCAGCAACGTAGTGACATGAAAAAGAGGTTCCAAAACTCTTTTAGGAGCCACGGGTAGGATGACAGGCTTCATTTGTTAGTTTTCACTAGCTTGTCTTTTACAGAAGAATTACCCTCAACATAGCCTTTCGACGCTGTAAATCTTGAGTATTCATTTACCCTCTTCTGGTCTCCTGGAAACAGCTGCCAGCCGCATTTCACTTCTCTTCCTAAGGAGTAGGGTAAATTTAAAAGCCAAGTTATAGTTTAGATGTTACTATAGAATTTTGGAATTGGAAATTTAAAATCAGGACTGAGGACTAGGAGACCCAAAATTCCTGATCTCACTTCTGATGAATTTGTCACATTTTCTGTCAAAATAAAATGTCTTGGAGGTTGTGACTTCTTGGTGAAACCCTCTCACATTCTCGTTGAAAGCACATGGGTTCTCAAGGAACAAAATCCCTTTGGCTGTTTGCAAAACTCACGTCTTGTCTTTATGGCCTCTCAACTCCAACACAGGGCCAGGCACAAAAGAGACACTCAAGGTATTGAGCAACTGGTAAAAGACCCGGAGGAAGTTTCAGACAACCAAAGCAGAAACTCCACGTTCCTCCAAAGCCCAGGACATCCATGTGAAAACGTCTGGCCTTTCCTCTGCACTGGAACCCAGAACCGCTGGCACAGGGTTGCTGTTGCCTGTACAGATCTGTCTTGTCTGCCTTTTTGCAAATCATCCGCCCCTAACTTCCTCTAAGGAGGCAGAAAGGGATTCCCCGTGGCTCTTAGAATAGCAACCCTACCCTCAGCATCCTAGGCTCCCATTGGCTTCTCCTGCCATTAAACAGGCCTGAGCAAAACCAACGCCCAGTTTTGGGCTGCCGTGAAACTCCCTCATGGACTCCAGCCTTGCCCAGGCTCCACTGCCTCCAGTCGTCTCCCAGGATTTTATTTCCCAAATGCAGCTCGGAATCACCTGAGTGGCTATTAAAAATGCAGCTTTCAGAAACCTCCTCCTGAACATTCTGGAGCTGGAGGTCTGGACACAGCCCACCCAAGAGGTGTGGGACTAGCCCCCAAATTGTGCTAAGCAGATTTCCAGTCCATTCCCCTTGAGACAGTTACACCCTTGCCTCTCTTCCTGGGCCTAAAACCCATTTTTGGAGGGAAGGAGAGGAATCAATAATAGTCTCTTTTCTTTTCCTCCCGAGTTTGAAACAACCCAGATATTATAGATAAAAGACGCAACAAGTGGAAACAAAAAAGAAAAAAATAGCTTTCTTCCTCATAAAACTGAAGAGAGGACATAGCTTCACGGTGTGACCCCAGCGGGAATTATACTCGTCCTGCGTTAGATAGACTTGCCACGTGGCCACAGGTAGCAATTAAGCTCAGGAGCCCCCAGCAAAGGCTGAGCCCTGCCCTACAGGATGGGGAGATGGGACCAGACCCTGTACGCTGCAGGCAGCAGAACCCCGTGGAGCAAGAGGAAGCGCACTCGGTTCCTACGACCAGACTCAAGTTCAAGCCACTCCTTTCCTCCTGGGGTCCAGCAAGGGGCTTTACCAAAGTCCATCCACATGGAAACAGGAGACAAGAAAATAGAGTTCACAGCCATCCCCGCATCACCCCCTGGATCTCAGCGTATTTCCCCTAGTGGAGAAGCCAAGCCTGTTCACCCGGACCTCCATGGTCCACTGAGATGGGAGGTCATGCCTCAGCTGCCATTGGTCTCCGCAGTGACTCTCAGTGTCACAGTGCCTCTCTCTAGCTGCACTTCAGTGGGAGCCTCCTAAAGGCCTCCCTGCCTCCCCAATCTCCTTAGTCCAACCCAGCCTTCTGAGTTCTCAATAGTGATTGTGTTAAAGCAAGAAACTGATCAGTCACTGACCCTGCCCTGCACACACATCTCCCCTGGTTTCCTGCTACTTCAAAGCCAAGTGCCATTTTCTCAGCCAGGAGCTCAAGGTGGCCCTGCCTTAGAGGTGTCCCTCTGGGCACGCTGAGATGTGCATATGGCATGGTGGTTAGGAACAGGACTCTGGAGCTGCCAAGCCTGGGTGTGAATATCTGCTCCATACATTAAGGCTGTGTGACATTGGATACATGGCCTAACCTCTCTGAGCCCCAGTTTTCTCCTTACTGAAAGCCTTGAGGCTTACAGTGAGCAAGGATTAAATCCTCAGTGTCTGTGGCGCACTGGGCTCAGTGCTGCGAGAGTGGCTGCTCAGCCTTTCTTGCCTCGCCTGGCGTTTCTATAGCACCGTCTAGCCCCCTTATCTCATTCCAGCTGCGTGACAGCCAAGCAAGACAGAGACCATCCACATCCCCCTTAGAGATCAGACAGTTGTGTCTGGGAAGCACCAAACCGCCTTGTAGCCACACTCATGTTCTGCATGAGCCTGGGGAAGATGATCTGTGCCCCATCGTAAAGTGAAAGAAGCATCTCGGGGCTCCACAGAGCACTCAGAATCCAGTGCAGCAGAGGCAGAATGGGCCCAGGCCCCTCAGTCCCTATCTTCTCCCGGTTCCCATTCCATCTCGGCAGTGCCACCTCCAGGGAGGATACGGGATTTGATACACAGGAATGACAGGATTTGCAATCCCATGGCTTCTGAATTCCAGGGAGGGGAGGAGAAAGCTGTGGGTAAAAACCCGTTTTCGGAGGAGTCTCCCTTGGCTGCCTCCTCAAGCAAACTCATCCACAAATTGCACATCAAGTTTCCCAGCCTCCATCTCAGTGAGCAGGCCCCTTCACTTCAGAGAATTCAGAGGCCTCTCTGGGGCATATGCCAGGGCAGGCACAGAGCAAGGATGTGGGGTTGGGGGTTCTGGAGAGCTCTGATCCCCTCCAGCCCTGCAGAGCACGCAATGCAGCTGAGCTACCGGAGAGCTGGTCCCTGAGAGTACAGAGAATGAATGAATCTGAACTAGAAACAGAAGGGCGGGAGGACCAGAAAAAGAAACGAGAGACAAACAGCGGCTGGGCAAGGAAGGGCTATTTCAGAGTGCTGGAAGCACAAGCTAAGCTAAGCATCAGGGGCCTGGGAGAGCTCTGCAAAATATCAGGAAGCCTAAAAGCATCTAGTCAAAGATGAGCGCAATTACAAGCACACTCAAGACCAAGGACAAGAGCAGGAGCGTTTCCCCAATTAGAAAATGTCCCTTCTGTGTCCCTGCTGCCAACACACAATGACACATTTGACTTTTGACTTCATTCTGTTATCTCTGCACTGCATCTTATCTCTGGCTCTTGTTAATCTTAAGATCCTTCGTTGGTTTGCTGAATAACTTGAACTGCAAAGGGGGAAACTGGGAAGTTGGGAATAAAGTAAATCAATTTCTTCTTGACACAAGAGACACTCCTGACGTCACATAATGACCTGACCCACTCACATCACATCACCCCTGAGCCCTCAGTGCCTGGCTGTATGCTGGTATCAAGGCTCACAGCATCACAGGGGCTGGGGACTGTAACCACCTGCTTGTGCCACGTGTACTCCCTGTCTGTCTCTAAGAGTACTATTGTCACCTCCAGTTCTGCAGATGAGGATTTTGAAGCTTGGAAAAGCTGAGTAACCTGCCTGGGGTCACACAGCTGGAAAGTACTAGGACCGGCACTTGCCCCTGGGCGTCTGGCTCCCGTGCCTGCCCTCCAGAAAGCATGGCGAGAAATGACCCAGCACAAAGGTGATTATGAAGCAAGGGGCAGTGAAAAGTGCTTAAAGTGATAAAGCCCAGTGGAAGGAAGCGTCCCTTCTCCCTGGAAGATTACAGAAGGCTTCCTGGAAGAGATCTTGTCTGATTCCAGCTTTTCAGAATGACCGGGATTTTGACATTGGAAGCAGGGGGGCAGCAAATGTGAATGAAATCTATTGTGTGTCAGAACCAGAAGTCCAGCAGCAGTAGCCCCGTTTGTCTGGGAAGGAGTACTCAGGAGGAAAAAAAAATGGGAGATAAATTCAGAAATGTAGATTCAGGACAGACAGGAGGAGTTTGAGCAGGTGAATAGGGAGGCATCCAGGAGC